TGGGGGCAGGAGACTGCACTCTTCTCTTCCGGGAGCTCGTTTTTATAGTCTCTGAGTCTTGGCCACTGATGGGATTACACAGCGCCAGGGGGCCAGTTGGTGGGTGTGACCCCCGCCTACTGGAATTTGGAGGATCTGGGTGGAGGATGCTCGGCCCAAATCCGAGTAGACTTGGAGATCTCGGCCCCCGGAACCCCCAGAAGCCTACTCGGATTTGGGCCGAGCATCCTCCACCCAGATCCTCCAAATTCCAGTAGGCGGGGGTCACACCCACCAACTGGCCTCCTGGAGCCGTGTAATCCCATCAACGGCCAAGACTCAGAGACTATAAAAACCAGCGGCCCGATGCCTATTATGACATCTTATTATCTCATTCCTACTTTGGACAAACTGGCAGGTTACCAAATGTAGCCTGCCCACACGGCAGAGTCTGGCAAACTCCCCGTGGCGTACCCAATATGCCAAATATCAGTAACAATGATGGGTCTCATTCTCCTAAAGAGCCTTGAATATAATCTCAGGGCTAGGATGAAGGAGACGTTACTGGGGCCTGCTCAAGGCAATCGACGATTAACAGGATGATTTGTGATTTGTTTGTGATTTGTGATATTCCACAGATGAATGCAGTCTTTCTATGCCTGTCGCTCTCTTTCTGACTTATTTCACTTAACATGATTCTTTCCATGTTGATCCACTTAAATGCAAATTTCATGACTTCATCTTTTCTAACAGCTGTATAGTATTCCATTGTGTAGATGTACCAAAGTTTCTTTAACCAGTCATCTCTTCTCAGGCACTCGGGTTTTTTCCAGATTCTGGCTATTGTAAATAGTGATGCATTTATTTTTAGTGTAGGAGTACTGCTATTTTCTCAGTCATTGATTAAGCTGATTGAATTGGGCATGAACTGCACATTACTTTTTTTTAAAATTTTTTTTGATTGAATATCCGTGAGATAGACCATTACAAAGCTGTTCATAATTGGGTTTCAGTCATACAATGAATGATCCAGTACCTATCCCTCCACCAGTGTACATTTTCCACCACTAATTTCCCGTTTCCCTCTCACCATCCACCAACACCCCACCCCCCACTCCCAGCCTCCCTCTATGGGAAGGATTTTCCTTCTTGCTCTCTCTCTCCTTTCCCTTTTGTGCTTTATGGTTTGCAGTGCAGGTGCTAATAGTTCATGGTGCTTGTTCAGGGCATTCAGTGTTTTTATCAGGATGGTAAGGCTGGAGTAGCTTTTTAATTGGGTGGCAGTTTGGGGGTGTGGATGTGACTCCCAAAGTTTCTGGAAATACAGAGAGGTGTGGGGAGGTAGCCCATCCTGACCCCAAGAAAGCCTGGAGATTTCAGTCACAAAACCCACATACCTGAATTTTTAGCAGATTATATCTTGGTGAGTTCTATCCTTAGACAGTGCAGTGAGACTGAATGTATGGTGGCTATTTTGCATTATGAGAGCAAGCAGCTGCTGGGGGCTCTGCTTGGGTGGGCACCAGGGTGACCCACCCCCGTCCTGTTTACTCTGATCTATTCAGCCATGTGCAGGGCTGAGATTAATTGTAGCCTTTGATCTCTTTTGAGATTTACTTATGGGTCTCTGAAATAAGGCCAGTACATGAGCTTGTACAGCTGAGCTGGAGGTGGTTTGTGGGTGTGGCTCCTACATACTAACTTTTGATTGTTTAATTTCTTGGTAAACTTGGTCCTAGTTGTTGGGGTCCGGCCAAAGGCATAGTGGTAATTTTGGGGTATCAGGAAGCCTGAAGGCACCATCAGGCTACGGATGCAATGATGCATTTTTAAAAATTTATTTGTATTAAGGCACTATGATTTACAAAGTTTTTCATGGCATGCACTGTTCTAGCACCAATCCCACCACCAGTGTGCCCTTCCTCCAGTGCCCCTAGGTTTCCTCCTGACTCTCGACCTGCCCTCTCGACAGGTACATAACAGCTTTATTTTACATTGCTTGCTCCAACAAACTTAGGGGAGTGGAAAATGGAAGTATCAGAAACTAAATAAATAAAAGTCAATTTTTGATGATTGCTGGACAATTTTAACCTTTCTTAATCTACTAGCGGACACCATGAGTGAGTACCATACTCAATGCTATGTGCTAAATTTATCCTGTTCTTTAAAGAAGCTCTTTTTTGTTTTTTGCTTTTTGGGGGGTAGAGGGTCACACCCTTGACTCTTCACTAAGGAATTAGTCGTGGCAGTGCTTGGGGGACCATATGGGATGCCAGGGATTGAACCCGGGTCAGCCGCATGCAATGCAAACACCCTACCTGCTGTACTGTCGCTCAGGCTTCAAGAATCTCTTTTAATGCTTCTTGCAAGACACTTCTCTTTCATTTCTAACCTGGTTTATTATTTTGTTTTGGTGAGTCTCATTTGAGTTTTGTTAAATCATGTGTATTCTTAGTTTCATTGATCCTTTGTATTTTTTTCAGGGGGTGGGGTGAGATTCCTCTCTATAATTTCTGCCCTTTCCTGCTTTCTACTTTCTTTGATCGCTACACTTTTTGTTACCAAGAAATGGTGAAAAATAACTCTTGCCTTTTAATAGTAGTTAATTGTATAAGACTTTCTCAGTACAATTTAATGAGAGAAATATTAAATGAGTTTTCTTTATGTTTTTACTCCAAAGTTGTAAGATTTAGAAAAAAGCATTTTCAGTGTAAGTTTATGTCTATTAAGCTTTCTAAATATCTCATCACAATGCTACCTCTTTGGAAATAACTTTAAGAGAGATTGTACCACCAGATAACTAGTAGTAGATAGAAACTTTGTCTACTGTTTTGTCTATTTTTTTTTGTAATTGATGGTTTTGTGGGAACAGAAAATAAGGTAATAGTGAAGTTTCTGATAGAAAAAGAAAATGTATTATTGAGAAAAAGTGTTTCCACATTCACCACTATAATTGTCATTAAAAAATAATGTATTTGTCAGTGCGTGATCTCTATCAAGCACTCTCTATAACTTTTCCAAGCAGAAGCCAGCTATTTAAAACCTGTTGTTTGTATCTCATCACTCTCTTTTGCAGAACTAGCCTATTGATTAATGGTTAAAACTGATGATCTCAGAGCCAGAGAGAGATAGTTAAAGGGTTAAGGCATTTATTGCATACGGCAAGTCCTGGTTCAATCCCTAGCATGGCACATGCCACTCCTAGCCCCCGAGTAAGCCCAAACCACAGCCAGGTGTGGCCCCCGAATAAAACAGTTTATCCTTGATTTCAAGCCTCTTTATTAGTTTCCTTGGCCATCAGTAGTAAAGGACCACAAACTTGGTGACTTAAAATATTGGAAATGTATTATTTCACAGTTCCAGGGAATAAAAATTGAAACCAAAATTGTGAAAAATGGCTATGTTGTCTCAGACTTGTTTTAGCTTCATGTATTGGCTCAACCTTTGGCATATCTTAACTTCAGGCTGCATCAGTCCAGTTTTTGCCTATATGGTTATGTGGTGGTTTTTATTGTGTATCTTTGTTTTTATCTCCTACAGGGATGCCAATCTTTGGGAATAGGGTTCACCTTAAGTATGACCTCATTTTAATTTGGTTGCATCTCCAAAAACCCTGTTTCCAAATAATGTCACATTTACAGGCATGGCAGTATTAGGAACACAGCATTCTTTGTGGGGGGCATCGGATTGAATCCACAGTCGCCCCCTCAATATTTTTCTCTCCTCTTTCTACTGCTCTGTCTCAGGTAATTCTTTTTTTTTTCTTTTTGAGTCACACCTGGCGATGCACAGGGGTTACTCTCAGGAATTACCCCTGGGGGTGTTCAGGGGACCATATGGGATGCTGGGAATTGAACCCAGGTTGGCCATGTGCAAGGCAAATGCCCTAACCCCTGCGCTATTTCTCCAGTCCCTCAAGTAATTCTTAAGGTAGTGGAGTGACTTGGTTAGTACAGTTTCAGTTCATTAGGATGCATTGTAGACTATATTTTTCAGGACTAGCAAAGTACTTGGGCTGGAGTGATAGAACAGCGGTAGGGCATTTGCCTTGCACACAGCCAATCCAGCCCAGCCAGGTTTGATTCTTCCGCCCCTCTTGGAGAGCCCAGCAAGCTACCGAGAGTATCTCGCCTGCATGGCAGAGCCTGGCAAGCTACCCATGACATATTCGTTGGGCTGGAGCGATAGTACAGTGGTAGGGTGTTTGCCTTGCACGCAGCCAACATGGCCGACCCGAGTTCGATTCCTCTGCCCCTCTTGGAGAGCCCGGCAAGCTACTGAGAGTATCTCGCCTGCACGGCAGAGCCTGGCAAGCTCCCCCTGACGTATTCGATATGCTAAACACAGTAACAACAAAATCTCCAATGGAGACGTTACTGGGCCCGCTCGAGCATATTGATGAACAACGGGAGGACAGACAGACAGACAGACAGACAGCAAAGTACTTGCCATTGGTTTAACTATTTGTTTCTATATCAGAATTTCTAAGTTTATATTAAACTTTAAGGTTTTTTTTTTTAAACTCAACTGCATATCTTTTTAATTAGGGACAGGGGTTTAGGCCACACCTGACTCTGTGTTCAGGAATTACTCCTGTCAGAGTTTGGTGGTTATATGTGGTGCTGGGGCTCAAACCCCGAAAGATCAAGTGTCTTACTTGCTGTGCTATCTTTCTGGAGTCCCTATTCTTTTTTATTTTAAAAAGCATACTTGTTATCCTCTAGGTACTTTAATATACCTTTTACCTTTCATAAAACCAAATCACTAAAATAGTATATTATTGTATAACCATTTTCCCTTACTAATCATTTCACCTGTGAATCCACTGATACTAACTTAAATGCATGAGTTTGACAGTATTTTACAAAGTGTAAAACAAAAATATTTTGTATTTTGTGAGAGCACAATTGGAGTTTGGGAGAATACTTAGAAGTATGAGAATATTTTCATTGTTTCCAAAAGTCATTAGTATATCAGAATTTGTAAATTTACTATAATTTTTTTTTTCACTTTTCTCATAGCTCAGGAATCTTGCTTTTAAGAAAATTCCCCAGAAATCCTCCCATGCAATTTGTAACACCCAGCATGAACTTATGTTGTCAAATCCAGTACGGAAGGATTCTCGAGAAGAAAATTGGCAAGAGTGGAGACAAAAAGATGAACAGGTACAGTAAAGTTAATGAAATCATTTTGCTTTGGTTTTCTCAGTGAAATCATGCATTTTTGAGGCAACAGTGCATAGAAATCTATTGGATCACTCAGAATAACTTCTAAGAAGCATGTTGTATTAATTCACGTGTGTTAACTGCCCCTAATAAGGTTAAATTTCTTATTAATATATTGTAATTTTTGTTGATTTTGGCAATTCAAAGCAATTCAAAACTTTAGTAAGTTTTAAATCATCTGCCTTTTTACAACCAAGGGATAGAGAAAGAGAAATAACTTGATTAGATTATTCCAGGTAAAAAATAAAAACAAACAAGGTAGAGATCAAGTACTAAGCAACAGTTTTGCTCAGGGGGCAGAATGGGGGGCAGACCTGTGGAGTGGGGTCGGGGAGCTGGAGGAGGAGGGCACGACAAGTAGGCACAACAAGTGGGCATGACAGTTGCCTTGCTTGCAGCCCACTTGGAATCAATTCCTGGCACCCCCGTATGTTCCCCTGGGCCCAGAAACAAAATTAAACTCTGATGATAATTTACATCAGGGCTGGAGCGATAACACAGCGGGTAGTGTGTTTGCCTTGCAAGTGGCCAACATGGCCGACCCGAGTTCGAGTCCTCTGCCCCTCTCAGAGAGCCCAGCAAACTACCGAGAGTATCTCGCCCACACAGCAGAGCCTGGCAAGCTACCCGTGACGTATTCGATATGCCAAAAACAGTAACAACAAGTCTTACAATTTGTTGTGAGATGTTACTGGTGCCCGCTCGAGCAAATCGATGAACAATGGGAGGACAGTGCTACAGTGCTACAGATAATTTGCATTCAAACTTAATGTAAATGATTTTGTAGCTTTTATTTATTTCCTTAACCTTTCTACGTGATAGTGTATTTGAGTGGTTCTGTTAATTAAATAGATCATTTAGATCTGTTCTTTTTCTCTGTGTGTGCTATGTAGGAAAATAACAGTATTCTGGGATAAACTCTATGAGATGATATAAGTATAGGAATAATAGCTGTTTGTTAAACTGACATTTGATTTGTTCTAATAAACAATTGGTTCAATAGAGTGCCTATCATTAGACTAAATGAAATTACACTCTTAATACTGTAATTATAACATTTTTACACTAGGGCTGTGTGAAAATGCTGTTCAAAAAATATTTTCAGAGTCCGGAGCAGTAGAACAGTGGGCATGACACTTGCCTTGCTTGCAGCCCACCTGGAATCAATCCTTGGCACCCCCAAATGTTCCGTTGAGCCCAGAAACAGAGTTAAACCCTGAACATCACCAGGTATGGCTCCAAAGCCAAAGTTAAAAAAATAAATAAAAAGAGTCCAAGTTCTCATGTGCTGGATAAATTATCTTGTATTATTTTCATAAAGGTCCATTTGATTCCTTTTTTCTTTGTAACCCTTCTTTGTAACTGATAAGTAAGGAGAGGCTGCCAAAATCTCAGGGCTGGGATGAATGGAGAAGATACTGATGCCCACTCGAGTAAATCGATGAACAACAGCATGACAGTGATACTACAGTTTTCATTTTAAAAATTTCTGGTCTCTAAGTAGCAATGACATCTTCTGATAGTAAAATAATTTATTAATATCTTCATAAGAGAGTTTTTTTAATGGGCTTATGGCCTTATGGGCACAGGGAAATTAAGAAGGAATAATACTTAAATTTCTACCAAAATTCTGTATCATATTGAGAAATTTGAGTACAGGTTTAATTGCCTCTTTTCCGAATCCCACTTGTTGATGCCAAAATGACTGCGTGAAAAAAAAAATTAGTTTGCTTTGCCCTGATCATGTATAATGATGTTACACAATGCTTAGGAACTTCAAGGATCAGTATTGATGAGTTATTTAGGAAAATCTGATATCTTATTTGGCGGTCTCAGAGTTGCAGAAAAATTAAGTCATAGGAAGAAGAATAAATCCTGAGGAAATTATACTGTTGAGTGAAGAAGAAATAAGGACCTAGAACATATAAATAGTGTACTTCTTAAAATCTGTTTTGCTGTGTGGGTCACATATTGTGAAATTAAGGACTATAAAGTGATTTTGTTAGGCAGAAAGTATTGAGTATTGAAAGTATAGTTCTCCTTGACATACCAGGGAATCAACACTGTGAGCAATTCTAGTTATTCAGAGTTGAGGCAGGCAAAAGTCTTTCCTATTATATGGCTTCTTATTTCAAGCAAAAGAAAAGTTAGGGTAAAGCAGAACTCCTTTATTCCTAAAATACCAAGTAGATATTGTTAATTTCCAACTGTCAACTTTTAGCATCAAATCTGAGTGTTGCCGTCAAAGAGCAAGCACGTGACATTAAAGGACCATCTACTTATTGTACTGTGAGTAACTTATACAAGAAAACACTGGATTCCTAGTGGATCATGATCAACTGAAGAAAAATGTCTGCCACAAGTAAGGAAAGGAACATTGTACTTCATGTCCAAAGTGACAGTTTGCAACAGGGTGATAAGTATATTTAGGAGAGCAACTTTTTCCCTTTAATAATTGACAGGGGACTACTCCATCTTTTAAACTAAGAGGATAGTAATGCTATGTAATAAGCTGAGGTAGTAGGTTGTGATGAAAAAGAGATTGAATGGAAGAGGGGCAGAAAGGAAAAATGTATATGCAAAATCATAGTAAAGTAACAGTTTTGTGTGCCAAGCTTGAGAGCGTTTGCTGGGAAGACTGATGATGTTAGGGTGAGGCTGCAGATACTTGCTCAAGTCACCTAGGACTTCCCAGAAGACCAAGAGCTGGAGCTCAGATCTTCTCCCTGGAACACTTTCAAGAGAGGAAGACTGAAGGAAACTTAAAAAGCAGTGGTTATAGGAACCTTGTTGCCAGAAGCATCTGGTACTGAGCCTGTTAACCTCAAAGAGGAAATTGCTGAATGAGCCTAGTTTTGATATCGAAACACTAGTGTTAATTGCAGCAAATAAGACAGGTAGCCCTTTTATATTTCTCTACCATCACAACTATATGTGTATATTTGTGTAAAAGTTTCTTGGGCAAAAAAAGGGGTCATAAGAGGAAAAAGTTTAAGAATCTTTGCATCAGAAATTTAGAGAGCTTCCCTGAACCCGCAGGTAACAGAAGCTTGTGTGCCACCCCATCAGATAGACTGTAGGAAGGTGGGGGCCAGAGAGGTAGTACAGCAGGTAGGGTGCTTTCCTTGCACATACACAAACCAAGGTTTGGTCCCTGGGATCCTGTATGCCCACCAAGCCCTCTAGGAGTGATTCCTGAATGCAGAGCCAGGAGTTAGCCTTGAGCATTGCTGAGCGTGGACCCCCTCAAAATCAAAAAGGCTGCAGAATGGTAGACTCTGTCTGGGAAGGAGCCATAGAAGAGTTAGACAGATGTCCCAGACCTCGAGATACCAGTGATTCAAAGGCCACCATGCTCTGACTGTTGACTTGCACAGTCCCTTACACCAGGAACAATGAAGACACAAAGGAATTCTGCCACATAAACAGATGGTGACAGAAGTTCAGAAAGATCCTACATAAGTTCTGTTTAAACTGTCCAGAGTAGTCTTTAGAAGAACAATTCTCTTGACGTTAATTTATCTGAAAGAATTGCTTGAACAGAGAATCAGTAGGAGTTTGAAGAATGATGGGAGAAAAGAACTGAAGGAGCTAAAAAGAACAGTAGCAAGTCTCAGCAACAGAGTAGATGATAGTGAAAATCTCAGTCAGTGATCTCAGAGAGAAGCTGTATGACTCCGTTTAAAAAGAAGAGATAATGGAAAAGATACTGAGGAAAGATAAAGAGAATCTAAGAGATGGTTACTGATAGCATCGGGAGAATAACCTCAGTGTCCTAGGAACTGCTTTAGGAGAGAGAAGAGGGAAGTGTCATAATGACTGTTGAAGAAATAATAAATCAGAACTTCCCCATCTGAAGAGGGAAACTGGTGCACTAATATGGATGACGTAGAGTACCAAGCAAAGTAAACCCAGATAGAACAACACTAAGACATAGTCAGAATGACAATAACGAAAGATAGAGATAGGTTCCATAAAGTAGTAGGAGATAAGGGGGAGAAGCATCAGTCTTAAATGAAATGCAGTAAGCAAGAAGGGAAGGGGACAATAAAGTACTGAATGAAAAGAATCTCCAGCCAAGAATCTTTTACCTTGCAAGATTACCAAAGTAGAATGAAGGAATGAAAAAAAATTCTTAGACAAGAGTAACATCTAAACCAGTTCTGCTAGACATGCTTTATAAGCTCACAATTTTTTTTTTTTTAAATCAAATGAAAAAATCTCCAAGAGAAATGGCAAAATAGACCTTCATAAGGTAAAGGTAAAGGTAAAGGCCCTCCCGTTGATCGTCGATTTGCTCGAGCGGGCCCAGTAACGTCTCCATTGGAGACTTTGTTGTTACTGTGTCTGGCATATCGAATACTCTCGGTAGCTTGCCGGGCTCTCCGAGAGGGGTGGAGGAATCGAACTCGGGTCGGCCATGTTGGCCGCTTGTAAGGCGAACGCCCTACCCGCTGTGCTATCGCTCCACTCTAAATAATTTTTCTAAATGTCAAATACTGAATTCTCCCATTAAAAAGTGCAGCGTGGTTAAATGGTAAGGAAAATAAATCTAACATGCTTGTAAGATACACATTTGAATTCGCACAGTAAACACAGGTATAGAATGTGTGTTTGCTAAACAATCATATGACTGTATCACTGTCATGCCATTGTGCATAGATTTTGCCGGCTTACTGTTAAAAAATCACTGGGGTCAAAGAGGAAATCACGGTCACGGTCCTCCCGTTGTTCATCGATTTGCTCGAGCCGGCCCAGTAACGTCTCCATCATGAGACTTGTTACTGTGTTTGGCATATCGAATATGTCACGGGTAGCTTGCCAGTCTCTGCCGTGCGGGCGAGATACTCTTGGTAGCTTGCTGGGCTCTCCAGGAGGGGCGGAGGAATCGAACTTGGGCCGGCCATGTTGGCTGCGTGCAAGGCAAACGCCCTACCGCTGTGCTATCGCTCCAGCCCAAGAGGAAATCAAAGAAGAAATAAAATGATTTCTTAAGAAGAATAAGAATGAACACACTGTTAGTAGCTATACGACACTGTTAAGGCAGAACTAAGGGAAAAATTGATAGCAATACAGGTCTTCATCAGGAAATGAGAAAAACATTAAATAACCTAAACTCACAACTTTAGATACCAGATAAAGGAATACAGATGAATCCCAAGGTAAGCAGAAAGAAGAAAATTATAAAAGATTAAAGTAGGAATCAATGATATGGTGGTGGAGAGAGGAAACCACAGCAATGATTCAGAACCAATAAAATTAGGATCAGGTTTTTCAGAAGATTAAACAAGATTAATACACTCTTACCTATATTCATGAGAAAAAAGAGAAACTACATAAATAGAATCATAGAACCTAGAAGAAATGAATGCAATTTTAGTATTATATAACCTCTTGTGATTTAATCAGGAGGAAGTAGAAAACCTGAATAGAACAACTAAACATAATAGAAAAAGTAATAAAAAATCTCCCAAGAACAAAACCCCAGATTTAGATGGGTTTTATCAGTGAATTCTACAAATTTTAGATAAATTTTGCCAACAAAATGGACATGATTGATTCAGACTGTAAACCACGGCCTCAGATTTTTTAAAAAATGGTATAAGTGTTTTTAAAGGAGGGAGTCAGGGAGATGACACAAGGGGCAGGGCATTTTTCCTGCATGCACCCAATCTGAGATTTCATCCCTGGTACCCCTGATGGTCATGTCTAGCACTGATCCCTGAACACAGAGCCCTGATCTCTGTATAAGCCCTGATCACTGCCAGGTGTATCCCAAAATTTAAAAAAGGGGGTGGGGGAAAGCAAATGATAAAGATCACAAACTAATCATTATATAAAATAATACTAGAAGGGACTGGAGTTATAGCACAGCTGGTAGGGCATTTGCCTTGCATGTGGCCGACCCAGGTTCGATTCCTCCATCCTTCTTGGAGAGCCCAGCAAGCTACCAAGAGTATTCCGCCCGCATGGCAGAGCCTGGCAAGCTCCCTGTGGTGTATCCGATATGCCAAAAACAGTAACAAGTCTCACAATGGAGACATTACTGGTGCCCACTCAAGCAAATTGATGAACAACAGGAAGACAGTGCTACAGTGCAATACTAGAAGACCTTAAAGGTAGAACAGCTATAAAAAATAAAAGATTGTGTTCTGTAACGTCGGGCATATATGGGCACATTCAGTTCACCTTAAAGATTCTATACCTGTGGATTAGTGTATATTAAGGAAATGTTGCATGTTTTATAATGCTTATTAGGCTATATTTTAGTATTCTTATATTTTTGTTATTTCTGTTATTTTGAGGGCCACTCCATCCATGATTGAATCACATTCAGCAACATTGGAGGTGGGACACTTGTAGTGCTAGCGATTGAACCTAGAAATTCTAATGTGCAAGGCTTGTGCTCTGTTACTGGAATGACATCCCTACCCCCTTTTATTCTTATGTTTTTGGATACCCAGTTGTAGTTTCTCTTTCCTAAAATGAACATCTGATATATTGAAACATACTTTTATTTGCCTATAAATGGATGGACATGGAGAGTATCGTGCTGAGTGAAATGAGTCAGAGGGAGACGGACAAATAAAGAATGAACTGCACTGTAGCTCTGTCCTCCCTCTGTGTTATCGCTCCAGCCCTGTGGTATATAAAAATATATATTGTAGAAGCTAATATACATAGCCAGGGAAAACAGAGATTGGGAGGACTGGTTGGAACTAACCACAAGTGTATGTGTGTGGGTGAGGGTAGAAGAAACAAGTATGACAATAATAGCTGGGAATGAACCACAATGCTCGGAAAGGGGGAGGGAGGGATGGGAGAGGAGAGGAGAGAAAGAAAGAAAAGAAAGAAGAGAAAGAAAGAGAGGAAGGGAGACAGGGAGGGAGGTTCGAACCTGGAGATACTGGTGCTGGGAAATGTGCACTGGTGGAGGGATGGGTGTTGGAATCCTGCATGACTGAATTCGATCATGAGCAGCTTTGTAAGGCTCTATGAAACATACTTTTCTTTTTTGAAGTGCCAGGTGTTGAGTCTCTGACTTTACACGTGCAAATTCTATGCCCTGCCACTAAGCCATATACCCAGCCCCTCAGCTGTCTTTTAACTGTTTCTTTCCTTGTCATGAATATTTTGCTAATGTGGTATAATGCTATAATCTGTTTATTTTGAAATGTTTCTTGTTTAGCTTACATCTGAAATGTTTGAAGCAGATCTTGAGAAGGCATTGTTGCTAAGTAAATTAGAATATGAAGAACACAAAAAGGTATTTACTGATTTATTGATGTAAATATTTTAGAAATTTTAAGTGATCAAAAGCTAAGACTACCTTTTCATTCATCATTAACTCTTTCTAGAGTAACCTGAAAATCCTGTTTCTGTTTTTTGTCATCTTTGTGTCTAAATGGATAAGTAACAATAAAGATAAGTTATTCTGAATTATTCAGGGACTTGGAAAGTAAAAGTAACAAATTTGGAATAAAGTTCACCTTACTGACTTTCATCTTTTTCTTCAAGTAACAAAAACATTTCTTACAAATTCTTTGTTTTGATTTGGTTTTAGACCATACCAGTGATGCTCAGGACTTACTACTGGGCTGTGCTCAGGGATTACACCTAGTGGTATCCCGAGACCATATGTGGCATATGTGGTGCTGGGGAATCAATCCAGGTTCGCCTCATGTAAGGAAAGTGCCTTATCTGCTGTACTGTCTCTCCAATAGAGGGTCTCTTGAAAGGTGCCCAAGGACCCATACTTCTGTAAATTTTGAAGTTTATATTTTGTGTTCATTTAAATTATATAATAACAGCTTTATTTCCTCTCCTCAGCTTGGAAGAACTTTTTTCCCTACCATAATATCTATTTTTTAAAATTTTTTACATTTTATTAAAAATTGAATCACAGTGAGATACACAGTTACAAAGTTGTTCATGATTGGGTTTCATCATATAATTATCAACACCGTCCCTTCACCAGTATATATTTCCCACCACCAGTGTACCCAATTTTCTTCCGATGCCCCACAACCCCCCAGCTGCCTCTGTGGCAGGCACTTTTCTCTGCGTATGTGCTCTCTCAAGAATTTCTTAAACCATCAAATAGTCAACTTAAAGTTCACACATTCTATTGTCTCTCAAAACCTGAAGTGTTAATATAAAATCTGTCTATTGTCCACTGTCCTCCTGGACACTGTTCATCAATTTGCTTGAGTGGGCACCAGTAATGTCTCACAACAAATTGTGAGACTTGTTACTTTTTTTTTTTTTATTAGTGAAACACCATGAGGTACAGTTGTAGACTTACAAATTTTTGTGCTTGGATTTCAATTATACAATGATCAAATACCCATCCCTCCACCACTGCCCATTTTCCACCACCACAGATCCCAGTATCCCTCCCACCCCCCAGCCCCCCCATCCCACCCTGCATCTGTGACAGGACATTCCCTTTTGTTCTGTCTCTCCTTTTGGGTGTTGTGGTTTGCAAAAGAGGCATTGAGTGGCAATCATGTTTGGTCTATAGTCTACTTTCAGCATGCTTCTCACATTCTGGGAGGATCCTCCCAACCACCCTTTGTTTGGGGCTCCCCTCTCTGTCTGAGCTCCCTTTTCCCCTAGCATATGTGGGGGGCCTCCAAGCCATGAAGCAAATCTCCTGGTACTAATCTTGTCCACTTTTGGGTGTTAGTCTCCTATGCTGTTACTTTATGTTCCCCAGATGAATGCAGTCTTTCTATGTCTATCCCTCTCTTTTTGACTCATTTTACTTAACATGATACTTTCCAAGTAGTACCACTTGTATGTAAATTTCATGACTTCATGAATAGCTAAAGCAATTCTTGGGAAAAAGAAAATGGGAGGAATCAACCTCCCTAACTTCAAACTCTACTACAAAGCAGTAATAATTAAAACTTGTTACTGCCTTTTTGGCATATCTAATATGCCACGGGGAGTTTGCCAGGCTTTGCCATATGGGCTAGATACTCTTGGTAGCTTGCCAGGCTCTCCTAGAGGAGTGGAGGAATCGAACCCGGGCCGGCTGCATGTTAGGCAAACACCCTACCTGCTGTGCTATCACTCCAGCCCAGTATAAAATATTCATGATAATAACAAAAAAAATACCGCTTTAAAACTAATGTTAATTTTCATTATTAGTTTTAGAAAAGGCACAAATTCAGAAATACAAAAAAAAGTAAGTTCTTACTGAAAAAAAAATATACCCCAGCCATGCTCAGGGCTTACTCCTGGTTCTGCACTCAGAAATTACTCCTTCAGTGCTTGGGGGACCATAATGGGATGCAGAATAGTTTTTAATATTAAAAACTAATATTAAAAAAGTATTAAATATTAGTTTTTAAAGAAGAAAATTGGGAAATGAGAAACCACTGAAGGAGACTTAAGAGTAATCAGAGATATATTGAGACATTCAAAAGTGTTTGAAAAACTAATGGCTGTTGGATTTGTTGTTTAGGAGGATTTTGATCTTAATTTTAGAGTACAGATACAAGGGGAAATAACTTGTCTATAGACTATTGTACTAACTTTGGTCTTGAAATGAATGAGGAAGGGGGAGATACAGACCAAGGTATAGTTATTCTTATTAAATGTTTTGTTTAAGAGATAAGAAATTGGATATATAAATAGGCATCCTTTCATATGATTTATATAACTTTAGCTTTGAGTTTTATGTCTTTGTCTTTAAAAAATAACTGAGAAGTACATAAATCAAGCTATTGATTGTACTAACTAATCTTAATTATTATTCTTTTTAGGAGTATGAAAATCCTGAAACTACTTCAGCTCAGTCAAAAGTTATAAATAAGAAAGATAAAAGAAAGAATCATCAGGGGAAAGACAAACCTGTCACAGTACCTCTAAAAGATTTTCAGTCTGAAGGTAATTTATGAAATCTAATATGCTAGAAAGTTTTGTTTCGTTTCTTTTTTTTGTTTGTTTTGTGGCCACATCCAGCAGTGCTCAGGGATTACTGCTCTTCTCTGCTCAGGGATCACTCAAGGCATGGTTTCTATGGGTGGAACCAGAATTGTCTGCATGGAAGAAAAGTGCTTTAACTCCTATTCTATCTCTCTGACCCTAGGAAAATATGAAAATTAACATTAGTTTTAAAATCATTTTTATACATATGATTGTCCTCAGCTTACATTAGATCAGAAATAGTCTTCAGATTTTTATCTATTATTGGTCAACTTTAACATATTTGATACTTGATAGTACAATTTGTATTTTAATAAATCAGAGAATACACATAGAAATTATACCACCAAATTTTGAAGGCATATTACAGGCACATTATTTTTGATGTGGAAGACGGTATAAATTATAAATCTGCACTGCATACTATGACAGCCACTATTCATGTGAAGCAACTTTAAATACTTGAAAATGAACTAAAATAAAAATTGTTCTGTTGTATTAGCCATATTTTAAGTGCACAGTGTCCACAGGTGGCTAGTAATTTCTAGGTTAGACAGCACAGGTATAGAATATTACTATACCACAATAGTCCATAGTGTTTGTATACCATAATGCTATATTACATTTAAAGAATTTCTTTTGCCATACTTGTAGGTTGATTAATATAGACAGTTTTATCTAATAGCATTGTCACTGGCAGTATATTTGGTTCCTATGTATTTAAGAATTGGGCATTATGTTCTGTGAGAAATAAATATAACATTCATCCCCTCCAAAAATAAAAAAAATTCAGAATATTTTAGAGAATAGTCTTGTTTCTGAAATTAGGAATATATTTAGAGTTAAGTTTCTTCCCATTCAAAATTAGGAGGGAATGGGATGTGACTCAAATGGTAGAGCAGGTGACTTCCCTCTTCTAGGCTCTTGAGTTTGACCAGTGGTACTACATGGCTCCCCCATTGTACTCAGCATCAGTTGGGTTGTAGCACTAGAGAGTGATCTTAGGTTCCTGAGCACTGCTGGTATGACTACATAACAATTAGAATTTTTTTAAGAACAGGAAAGACCTGTGTCTCTGATTTACGTGATTTGGGAGTTAAAAAAACTGATGTTTACTAAAACAAAGTCTCTGGTGTTAGAAATTTTATGTGAGAAATATTTTTTGTTAAAAATATGCATTTAACTGGGACTGGACATAAGGCACTTGCGTGACCTGGGTTCAAGCCCCAGAATCCCATATGGCACCCAATTACTGCCAGGATTCTTTCCAGAGTACAGAGCCAGGACCCTTGAGCATCACTGAGTGTGATCCAAAAACTTAAAAAATAAATATGCGTAAACACAAGATAATGCTTTAAAAAATCATTTATTTTCCATATTTTTAATTAAGTATTGTGCAAATTTATTAGATAAACTGAGAAAGACCTCAGTAGGAAATTGTTGAAGAGAAACTACACAATCGTTACAGACTGTGATTAATACGTTGTGATTCTTTCTTGATTTCTGGCATCAATAATGCATGCTCAGTATAAACTTGATAGAAGGATGACTCTAACCTACCAAAATTTTATATGAAATAATGATCTTAACATTTTCTGGGTTTATGGATTCTGTCCTAATCAATGGATATGTTAGATAGTTTTAGTTATTCAGCTATTAAAAAGCTAGTCTGTTAAATCATAGTTTTTGAAAATGGAATATTTCTGCTGTGCACAAGGAAGTATTCTTAAATGTTAGAGAAGATGCTAGATATTCTGATCATTAATTTATTGTTGGACTTTTTTGAAGGTAACGGTTTACAGTGTTTATGTTTTGATGCTTATGTTTAACTAGAGCACCCCCATCGCCATCCAACTGCTAAAACCCACCACTGTTGTCTTCACGTCACTCTAGCCCACCACATTCTTCCCCACTCCATCCTTCACCACCCTACTTGTTAGCCTCAGTTCTGTTGTCAGAGTCTAAGGGTTGGTTTTTCATTGAACATTTTATATTTCTTTATTTGCACCCCGCATATGAGTGGAATCATCTGGCATATGTCTTCCTCTGACTCATTTCGCTTAACATGACATCCTTCAGTTCCATTCAGGTTGTAGCAAAACATGAAATTTGATCTTAAATTGTGTTTTTATACCACAGTTTCATTTCTACTCATCTGTCATTGGGCATTTGGGTTTTTTTCTGTATCTTGGCTATTGTAATAGCACTCTAATGAATATAGGTATACACATACCTTTTCAGATTCATGTTCTTGTGTTCTTGGAATGGATGTCAAGGACTGGAATTGCTGGATCGAATGGTATTTGTTTTTAAGTTTTTGAGAAATATCCACACTATTTCCGTAGAGGCTGAAGCAGACGACAAGGCCACCAACACTGACTAAGGTGTTCCTTTTTCACTACATCCCCATCAACACTGGTTGTTTCTGGACTCTTTGAAGTGGGCCATTCTTACTGGTGTGAGGTGATATGTTGCTTTGATTTGTGTTTCCCTAACAGTGATGATGAATACTTTTTCATATGTCTTGGTCATCTGTATGTCCTCTATGAGGAAGTATCTGTTCAACTTCCCACCTCATTTCTGTGTTGCTACTGAGTTTTGTAAATGCTTTGTATGTCTTAAATATTAGCTCTTTGTCAGATGTAGGGTGTGTGTGTTTTCTCCCATTTGAGTGTTCCTATTTTAGCCATAGTTTCTTTTCTACTGCAGACTTTTTAGTTTAAAGCAGTTCCATTTGTTTATGTTTGCTTTTGTTTTCGTTGCCGATGGAGTCAAATCATTGTAGATCCCTCAAAGTCAGTATCATGGAGAATTCTCCCTGTGGTTTCTCCAGTTTATTTTATGGGTTTGGATTTAATATGGTCTTTAATTATTTTGAATTAACTTTCTGGTATTCAAAGATCTAGGTGTTTGTTCCTACCTTCCTCCCTCACTCCCTACCCTCTCGCTCCCTTCCGCCTTCCTTTCTTCTGTAGCCAATCAGTTCCTCTAGCACCACTTGTTGAATAGACTTTCCTTTATTTAATGCACTTAACTCTTTTGTTATAAATTCTGCATAAATATAAAGATTTACTTTTAGGCTCTTGATTATATTCCATTGGTTCAAAAGTCTGATTTTTATTTTGATTCTTATAGTTTATAAAAATCAGAAAAGCACAGTGATTGAATTTTTTTTTCTCAGAATTTCTTTTGACTCTTTGGAGAGTTTTTTTTTTGTTTGTTTTTATAAAAAATTTGGCCATTTGTTCCATGTCTTTGAAGAAAGCTATTGGGATTTTTGTTTGTTTTGGGAGACCACACCCATCAACGCTTAGGGGTTACTCCTGGCTCTCTGCTCAAGGAATCACTCCTGCTGGGGTTCTGGGGACCATATTGAATACTCGGGATCAAATCCAGATCAGCTGCATCAAGGCAAGCATCTTACCCACTTTATCTCTCTGGCCCTGCCGTTCAGATTTTGATAGGGATTGCACTGCATTGAAGTATAAGGCTTTAGGTAAATTAGTCATTTTCGCAATGCCAGTTCTCCCAATCCTTAAACATGAACTGTTTTTCCATTTCCTTATGCTTTTTAATACTCATTTAATAGTCATATAGTTTTTGATGTGTCAGAAGACTTTCACCTCCTTTGTTAAGTTGATTCCTTGGTTCTTGATGTTTTCTGGACAGGATTAGAGGTGAGATTATTTTTTCTGGTTTTGGCTGTGGTTTTGGGGCCACATCCAGCTGTTTTCAGGGGCTACTCTCCTGTAGCTCAACCATCACTCCAGGAGGTGTTACTTGGGGGAACAGGCAGTGTTGGATATTAAATCCTGGCCACTGGTTTGCAAAGCATGTACTCCAGCCCTTCAAGCTATTTCTCTGGTTTGGGATTGCCCTTCTGACTTCTTTTCTAGTTTGTTGTTTGCACATAGAAATGCAGCATATTTTAATCTATTGATTATGTGGCTTTCAGCTTTACAATTTTGGTTTATTGTTTTAAAATTTAAAAGTGTTTACTAGTGTCTTTAGGATTTACTGTGTAAATCTGGAATAAGTGATAGGTTAGCTTTTTTTTTTTTTTAGTTCAAAAGATTTTTCTTGCTTACTTGCTGTGGCTAGGTTGTATTCCAATATTATGTTGAATAACAGTAGTGAGATTAGTTACTCCTGCCTTGTTTCTCTGGTAGTCAATTTAAATATGAATGCAGTCTCTTCTTGTACTTTAAACCTTATGTCTCTGAATTCCCTTTGTCTTTCTCCCATCCCATAATCCCTTTTCAGAAATGATAATGTTAGATTGTTTAATTTAGATTTAAGTTTTCTTTTTTTTAAATCACTTTATAAATCTACAGTAATTTTTAGGGTTTTTATGCCTCTTACTTTGTTCTACAAAGGAAGTGGGTTGTACAAATTTTATAGTATCATGTCATTTGATTTTATATTTATATCCTTTCAAATTTCCTTCCCCCACTATATTATATAAAACTAAAAAGATCTCTTGTGGAATCCAAATGTTTGAAATTTAATAATACTCTTTGATATGAGTGAAATTTACTAAACTATAAGATCTAGTTCTCTAAACTGAGAAAATGGATAATTGTGTTATAAATTCTAGCATCTTAGCCATAGAAAACTGAATTTTAGGAGTCCCAAAGAACCCGCAAATGGTTTTTATAATTCTTATTATAATGTAAAAATATTTTCATTTATTTTGCTTAAAATTTTTACATATTTAAATGTTTAATTTCCTCCAATGAAGTTCACTTTCTTTTTTTTTATTCACAGATCACATTAGTAAAAAGACTGAGGTAAGTGGTTTTGTAACCATTTTATTCTGGAAATGATTTTTAAAATAATATTTTAGTGCTTAACAATAAACAATTTTTGAAACAGAGGCTATTTAAGGGGGATAGCCCACGGGCTTATCATGAATGTACTTGAGCACGATTCTGACAATAAAAGGGTTGCAGTATAGTAAAATGTTTTGTGCATGAAGCCCACTGTCATTTAGCTTTAACATTCTAATTTGTTTGTTTATGAGTTAAAAGGTTACAGTATGTAAATTTAAATTTTTAAGGGAAAGGGATATAGCATTCCAAGTGCACACTTTATTAAAAATGTCACAAAACTATGACTTAAGGTATTTAGGAATTTTGATTAAACGACCACGTGACCCAGCAACACAATGATCATCACCTTACTCAGTATAGTACCCTAGATATGGAAACAACCCAAATGCCCAAATACAGATGAATGGATTTAGAAGTTGTGGATATGTACACAATGGAATACTGTGCAACTCTAAGAAAGAACAAAATCATACACTTTGCGGCAATGTGGATGGAACTAGAGTATATTGTGCTGAATGAAGTCAGTCAGAAAGGGATAGATGCAGAATGATCTCATATGTACAGCTTTAAGATACACAGTGAGGTAGCAAGAATGGGCCAAAAGGAACACAGTAGGAGAGCTGATCTACACAGTTGAGCTGGGGCTTTGAGAGTGAGGGTCAGTGGGGTCCTTGGGGGAGGAAGGCGGTACCCTCGTATTGATTATAGTATTTGAATCATGTGCATGAGAAACCATTATTAACAGTACTGAAAAACACAGAATCTGAATCAATAAAATAACTTTAATTTTTTTTTGTTTTTTTTTTAAATTTTTAAAAATTTATTTATTTATTGAATCACTGTGGGAAAAGTTACAAAGCTTTCAGGTTTAAGTCTCGGTCATGCAATTATCAAACACACTTCCCTAAAAAAACAATTTACAGGAGATCTCTCTCCCCAGGCGTAGTAAAAATTCATGACTTTTTTCTTCAAAATTCATCAGAGTCAGAATGTAAGAAGTTTTAATGTAGTTTATTTCAGAGAAAATTAAGTAGATTGTATTTTGAAGAGTGAACTTACCTTTGTAGGTCTGAAACAATATAAAATCTTCTAGTAAACAATGCCTTGATCACATAGAAAATATTTGTGTGGATTACCCCTCCCTCCCTTTTTTTTAATAAAACTAGGAATGGAAAAAAAATAACTTTTTTTAAAGATACTTAGGAATTTTAGAAATACTATGAAGTAAGCTATGAAGTAAGCTGTAATATATATCTATGCATACGATTGACCTTACCATTTATTTCTCATGCCATTCATTAGAAGATAGTGTGGCCTACATATAATTTCCTGGAATTATTGGTTTCTTTCTTTTTTTTTTTTAAGACTCTAGTGCAGCCTCTAAAATCTTTTAGATGATGATTCTGCTGTGGAATTTCTACAACTGTTGTGTATAACACTAATAAAAATGTTGTGTCCTTTTGATTTTTTCAGGTAATCTGGAAACTTCATAACTTTCTATTTTGCATATATCAGAATCATTTTTTATTAATTTAATTTTTTAACAGTACTGTTCCTTTTCACCTCAGTGCACATACAGGGTTGATATTTTCCTTTCTTAGAGGCCACATCCTGCAGTGCCTAGGTAGCCCAGAACCATTCCCAGGATGATTAGCCCTATCTTGCATGCCTGACCCTATGATATTTGGCTTGGTGGCTCTTAGGGGTCACCAAAGCTGCTCCTGATGGGGTGGTACATGGAAGATTGTATGGTTTAAGATTAAATTAGTGTCTTTCATTTTACCATTTACCAATTCTCATGTTTTTTCTGTTATCCAGCACTGTTGTTGTGGGTGTCATACTGAGTAAGTGGTCAGGGGTCACAGACAACCAGTATCTGTTAAAGAAGGAGAAATATTTTTTATAAATTGTTCTTGTTTTTTTTTTATTCCAAATTTGGAAGAAGGACCCAAACCAGATCACATCTGTCTGTTTTATCTAAATTGTATGTAAACAAGCATATAGATATGATGTCACATATATTTTATCTTCCATTCAAGATGTGCTCCTTGTCTTCTATTAAATAATTTGATGTGTATCAAAATTGGAATAATTCTAATGATTGATGCATGTTTGCACTTTTTGTTTTTGAGGGCCACACCTGGCTGTGCTTATGGCTTAGTCCTGGCTCTGTGCTCAGGAATCATTTCTGAAAGATTCAGGGGACAAAATGAGGTGCCATGGATCAAACCCAGGTTTGCCCATGGCATACAAGCAAGTGCCTTACCCATTGTACCATCTCTGCAGCCCCAGAAATCTTCTCATTTAAAAACCTACTCTAATTATATTTTCTGCATAACTATTTTAAGAAATTGATCAGTGGCCAGAGATGTCAGCTGGCTGAGCCTATGCTTTGCATGCCAAGACACAGGCTTGATCTGAGCACCACCTGGTGTGCTGCTTGGTTCTGAGATACTTTTGTGTCTCTCGGGATCATGGCCCTTAATGAGCTTAAATAGTTCCCAGAGGCAGCTTGTGGGTGTGACATCTAGGGTCCCATGGGGGCTGGGAGATGGAAGGGTCAGCCCATCCCCTATCCCATGAGGCCTGGAGTTTGCTGTCACTAATCCCAAGTACCTGGGCTTTTCATTTGGTTCTGGAAGATCACAGCTCCCGGAATTCCTAGGGGAAATCTGGAGGGAGAGCACCTGCTCTTGTCTGAGGCACCGGGTGAAATCAGCCTGGCACAAAGTATGGAGGTATCTCTGCTGTGAGCTGCTTGGATCCAAGATTCTTTTGTGTGTCTAGAGGAGGCTATCCTTATCCCACTTCATACTCTCAGCTCCCTTATTAGAAATTAACTGTCCATAGATACGGGGTTTCGTCAGAGGGTATTCGATTCTGTCCCATTGACCAGAGGGTCTGTCTTTATTCCAGTACCATTTTAATTTTTCAAGGTGTCTTTTAAAACTCAGAAGTTTTTAATGTTGATGAAATCCAGTTAATAAGTTTTATATTTTAATACAGTGCTTTTGTTATCTATATATTGATAAAATGGTTGTCAGGATACTAACAAACCCACGACCTCACATATCAAAGGTTCAGTCTACACTCTATGATGGAGTTTAATCCCTGACCCTTTTGGTGCTCATACAATGACTTCCTGGTTAACCAAACCCTACATACTTTATTCTAAAATATTTATAGGGCTGGAGAGATGGTACAGCGGGTAGGGCGTTTACCTTGCACACGGCTGACCCAGGTTTGATCCTCAGCATCCCATATGGTCCCCTGAGCATCGCCAGGAGTAATTCCTGAGTGCAGAACCAGAAGTAACCCCTGAGCAACGCTGGGTGTGACCCAAAAATAAATTAATAAATAAAAAATTAAATATCTATAGTTGTTTTTTTTAAGGCATCATAGTTCACGAACCTGAATGCGGAGTTTCATACATAAAACATTCCAACACCATACCCTCCACCAGAGTGTCCTTGTTTCTTCATCATTGTCCCAGTGTCTACACCTGCTGTCCACTCCTCTTATAGTAAGCTTCCTGATAAAGACTAGTACTGTTTTTATTGCCTTGGGTATTTGTTTTACCCCTGTTGTTATGAGAGAGATCATTCTGCTTCTGACTCTCTCCTTAGTAATTTCACTTAACATGATACTCTCCAAATTTATCCAATAGCAGAAAATGGCGTGATTTTGTCTTTCTTTATAGCCAAGGAGAATTCCATTACATATATGTACCTGTAGTTTCTTTATCAAGTCAGATATTCTTGTACACTTGGATTGTTTTCAGGTTTTGGCTATTGTGAATAGTTCTACAATGAACAGAAATGCAGATGGCTTTTTATGAATCAAGATATGGGACCTTGCTGGGGTATAGTGACGCCAGCAGGTGAACCTATACCTGCAGGGCGAGTGCACCTTCAAGCTTCCTAATAGCCCATAGTTGCAGCTGTGCCTTTGGCCAGACCCCAACAACTTGGGGCCAGGTTTACCAAGAAATTAAATGGCCAAGGTTTGTGGGAGCCATGCCCACAAACAATTCAGCTATCCAGGCTTATTTATCAGCCTTATTTCAGAGTCCCATAAATAAATATCAAAAGAGATCAAAAGCTGCAGTTAATCTTGGACCCGTGCATAGTTGAACAGACCGTGGTAAAGCAGAGCAAGCAGAGGTCCCCGGCAGCCACTTGCTTCCGCAGTACAAAATTGCTGCCATATCTCCGGCCTGACCCTACCATCTCAGGATGGACCTCACCAAGATATAATTTGAAAATTCAGGTATGCAGGTTTTGTGACTGAAATCTCCAGACTTTCTTGGAGTTGGGATGGGCTACCTCCCCCCACTTCCCAACACTCCTGGTTGCATTGGCAGTCACCCCCACAAACCAGCTCCAGTGATAGCCTGTCAGCTCTTCTACCAGTCTTGTTCCAGAGACCCAGAAATAAATCTCAAAAGAGATCAAAAGCCACAGTTAATCTGAAATGTTAATCTGTGCATGGCTGAACAGACCAGGGTAAATTGGAGGGGGCCGGGTCAATCTGTTGCATACCCAAGCAGAGCCCCTGGCTCTTGCTTGGTCCCACAATCCAGAATAGCCACCATACCCCTGGATTGACTCCAGTGTCTGAGGACAGATCTCACCAAGCCATAATCTGCTGAAAATTCTAGTATGTGGGGTTGTGACAGGGGTCAGGATGGACTACCTCCCCTCACCTCCCTTTCTGAAACTTTGGGACTCACATCCACGCCCCAAAGCTGCTACCCAATTAAAAAGCTACTCCAGCCTTATCGTCCTGATAAAAATACTGAATGCCCTGAACAAGCACCATGACCTCTTAGCACCTGTATTGCAAACCATAATGCACAAAAGGAAAAGGAGAGAGAGAGAGAGAGAGAGAGAGAGAGAGAGAGAGAGAGAGAGAAAATGAAAGTGCCTCTCAGAGGGAGGTGGGGTGAGGGATGGGGT